ACTGTAAATCACAACACCGCGAGACTATTTTATGGACGACCTTTAAACGAATTTTAAGTGACCTTGAGAAATATTAGCCAAACAGAAGTATAAAGTAAAAATATATTATAAAAAACTCATGAATTACAGTGGATACTCTTCTTTTACATGATTTATAAACTTGTTAAGGTTAGATAAAGGTTCAGAAGTTTTGAAATCATAGTGCATGCGGTATAGGAACTCGTCCATATAGCTCCATAGTAATCGTTCTCTGGAGCCATGGTAGGGTCTTAAAAATTCCTTCAGCCTAGACCATATGGCTTCAATATTGTTTGTATGAACCCCCGTTGGATCGACAAAATGGCATTTGTGCACTACAACATGATGCACAAACCCGAGTCTCTGGAGGCATCTATAGGCTTTCCAATCATCGGTATAGATCGTGGTGCCAGGCTGGACGTACTCCTTTATGACTGGTATTATTGTCGTTGCCTGACGGTTTCTCACTCTTTGAAAATGTCCCTTTTGGGTTGAACGATCATAAAATCCAAGTACCTGTCAAGTATATTTACGGGAGTGCTACTTACCCAATTTTCGTTGATAAGACGTCCTTTGTTGTATTTTCGCTTTCTAACTACTGTCTCATCTATTTCCACTATTCTTCCGACTCCTCCAAATGATTCATGTAGTCGTGTCATGTTTATTGCACATATATCACGGCAATATTCGTACCACTGAACGGCTGAAACTTCAGTAACATATGCAAAAGCCGCAGCTAATGTTACTGGAGACTTTATGATCCAATTTGCAACAATTATCATGATTTGTCTTAGTCCAAGTCGTGATCGAGCAAAGAAAGTACCAGTTCGAGCAGATATTTTCCTCCAACATCTAGAACAAAGAAATACAATTTCATCACGGTAGTCTGCACATCGTGCTGCAGTCATTTGATTGCCGCAGTCACAGATACAGGAACTTCTGAATAGTCCCAACAGATGGGACTATGGAGCTATATGGACGAGTTCCTATACCGCATGCACTATGATTTCAAAACTTCTGAACCTTTATCTAACCTTAACAAGTTTATAAATCATGTAAAAGAAGAGTATCCACTGTAATTCATGAGTTTTTTATAATATATTTTTACTTTATACTTCTGTTTGGCTAATATTTCTCAAGGTCACTTAAAATTCGTTTAAAGGTCGTCCATAAAATATAGTCTCGTCAAAGTTGATTATAAGATCGGCGATCATTCTCTAAGTTGGTCAGAGACATGAGTCTACGTGCAATCCTTCCAGTTCCTGTCCTTCGTATAAGCATATACGTTTGTAATGTGAAAACGTTTAAATTGACGAGTTAAGAGTAAAACTAAGATTAATCTAAGTATTTCTGCTTACTATTTTTGTCAAATTTTGGACCATTCTGTTCCTTCCCCGTCTGTGATTGTGGCTTCTACCTTGCATGTTTAAATGGCTCAGTGGAGCTACATTGATCTTATCACTCATTCTGTCAGGTCTTATTATTCCAAACAGGTCAGTTGTTATGCAGCAAGGACTTGATTCTCGAGGGCGAAATCGTGCTGTAAACTGTATAGAGACACTATAGTAGTATGATGTTTTCAGACAATTAGGACATATAATAATGCTTCCTTTTAACAAAAGAAGGGGTTGTGAAAGGTTGGCCCTAAAACTGACACCTTTCCCTCCCTTTGTATATTTATCGCTGACGGTAAGACCTTTAAGGTACGAGGCTAACACATAATTCTCGAAAACTTATGACCGGTCTCATGAACTTGTCCTTGGGGCTCACGGGCTGTTAAGATCAACCCATTTTTCTCTTAAATATCTTATAGTGTGAAGAACCGGAAAGCGACTACCACCTGCGCATTAATTAGCATTCGTGACTCGCTCATGGTTGCATCCCCGATCTGTCTACCTATTAATATAAAGAAGATAACTTGTCTGTTGGTTTAACCTTGAGGCTAAAAACGCGTGATTTGGAAGCAAGACTAACTACCTTGGGTAGGGGGACGAAAACGATTCTATCATCTGATTGTGCGCGCGAAAAAGACGAGTGAATTGGAACATCACTCGATTTATTCCCGATTCGGTTCCGATTCAGATTAGTGTAAAAAGATACATGAATGAATAGATAACTAACAAGATCACAATACACAAACAATTAGAAAAATAAAATGTCCAGAACTGAAGATTAGGGTAGAAAATCGAGTACAAAAGATTGCGTTTAAATTACAGTAACTTTGGAATGGAAAAGGCTATGGCAGTGAATCAAACGAAAGCTTATGGTTTGTCGAATAAACTAGGTACAGAAATAAATGTTAGTTTTACAAGCTTTGAATTAAGCGAAGTAACGTCCCCAAAAATAGCTCCCATTGTTTGTCATGACTTCTTGTTTCTCTGTTCACGTCACTCATTTGTTTGTTGATTTCTTTTTCCATTACTGTTCCACAGTTGTTTTAAGTTCTTACATTTACTTCATGTTGTTGATGTGACCTTAGTTATCTTAATGCAATGTCCTGCATTTACTTTGCAAGGTCAGCAAAACGAAAACTTGTTCTTGACTTATGTCCACTTGAAAGTTTTGTAATACCGTCTTTCCAATAGAGGAAGTGTTTATGTAGAACAACTTAATATTAGCATAGGTTATCAGGCTAGTTTATACTGTAAAACTTATCCTACTACTAGTTGAATGCGACATTTTTATAGGGATTATTTTATTATAAACCAAATATGACTCAAAATCAAGATATGAGTAGTAAATGTTTCTCATTACTCAAGAAAGTTGGTTTAATTCAACCCCATATCTAGGTCGTTTCTAAACAGTCTAACTTGGAAAGTTGCACACTACTATGTACTGAATCATGTAATATACCGATTTATTCATATGTTTAAACAAATATTAACACATGGAGGCATCAAGTATACATGTGCCACACTTCATTCGATTTGTGTGAGGGTTGAGATACTGCATGGTCGCTCAAATCTAAACAGGTTTATTAGGATTACACCTCCGAGTCAAAGGTCCGGGTAGGTCCTCCTGAGAAAACCACCTGCTTCTGTTTGGGCACCCGGGCAGTATTCTAGCCCTCACACAAATCGAATGAAATGTGGCGCATATGTATTTGGTGCCTCCTTGTACCAAGTATTATGTTTAAATAAATAAATAGAGGACCACTCCTCGGGCCTTTGACCTAGAGGTCTAATCCACAAGGCAGTGGAGCAACGTCCAATGGTAACCGGTGACCAACAATAAGTTTATACGCCATTTGTTCCTTCAGAATCCTGTAGCCCATGTTCAATATTAGTTTGGAGTCAGGGTTTTTCCAACTTCCCTAGGTGGACTCTCCGTGTCCACCAACCCGATTAAAGAAGTGGACGTGCTTTTAGAGATAACACTTTCCTCATATAAATTTCCAGTTGTACTTTTACTGGGAGGTTCACTTGTTGACTTAGAATATGGCGATGACATAGTTCTATTTGGTGAAGACACTGACAAAATTCAGTCTTCTAATCACTAAGCAACAATGCATGCATGTTTGGGAGGCGATTCTCCCCCTCGAAGTGCAAAATGCTGCTTCAGGATTGGGTTGCATTGACACCCGAACTAATGATAGGGAGTGAAGTAGATGAGCGTGTCAACCGCTTCACTTGTCTGGGAAGTCTCGTCAGCCATTGTGGTCTGGTGTGTGACGAAATCTAAGCACAGATACAGAAGGCTTGACTAGCTTTTGCCAACTTGCGTCATTTATGACGTAGGCGAGATATCCGTCTATCAACCAAAGGTTACTAGCATTTGATCAAAGATGTCTTCGAAATATTGCTCGTATATCCTGGGACCATCGAGTAAGTAACACAGTTGTTAGGAAACGGGTACTAGGTAAGGATGGCAAATCAATTGATGACGTAGTGAAACTTCATCAGTTGAGATGGCTGGGACATGTGTTACGTATGCCCAACCACCGACTGCCTCGATGCGCGATGTTTTGTTGTATAGGAGTAGATTGGAAGAAAGCTAGGGGCAGTCAGACCAAAACATGGCACAAGTCCATGAAGTCACTGACAAGTGGACTGAGTCATATTGATAGGTGTAGACTACCTAGTTAGGAACCGCGAGACGATAGCAACCGATGGTTAGAGACCTTAAATGACATGGCTCAAAATCGTTTGGAATGGCTCAGGTGCATCCACTCTTTGTGTTCTCCCAAATTCTAATCTTCTGAATTCTTCATGTCCCTTTCTTTTTTCTCTTTCCAAATTTATTTCACTGGATTATACTCTTTAAATAACATCTTCAAACCCTGATCTTTCCGATGACTGCTTATAATTTTACTACATCTAGCACTACGGGATTTGAATCGACCACTGCATCTCTGTGCTAATGTGGTGTGGCAACTAGAACTGATGTACGAACCTACGAAGTTCTACAATGTGACTGACTGACTGTACACTTTAATAGTAGTAGTAAACTGTCGGTGTTGACTTTACGTTGTAGCAATCTGTTTGAGTTTGTAGTGTTAGGCTAATCTTAGTACAGGACAAATGTTGAACTACACTATGGGGTTGGAGTCTTGGCAACAATTAAAGCTCACGAATCACTACTTATGAACATTCACTAGGGTTCGGGAAAAAATATACGAAAAGTAAATTTTTTCCTTGAAGAGGCTAGGGCTAAAATGTTTGGACTATTTCAATTTTAACCATTGAGATTACTTCACTTGTAATTTCACATCTAATGCATTAAGGATTCAGCTTCAATTTATCTGTATCCTTTGCAGTAATACCTAGCATTCTGTGGTCATAAAAGCGTATAGATGACTAACAAGTGGTTTATTTCATATATCTGACAATCCTTACACTTATCTAACGGTATTTACAACCGTAATTTCTATCTTAAAGATATATTGGATTTTTATTTTCTCTTGCGATAAACGGTATTAATTTTCACATTACCAAAACGTTGGTTTCTATTGCTTCACAGGAAATGTTTGAGATGTACTAACCATGGCTAAAATTTCCAACCGTAAACTACCAAAAAATGTCCATTCATCTCTTGAGTGGAATTTTCAGAATAACGATCCAAACTCTTCCAGCGATTCATGTTGGTCTTGGTCGGATGTCTATAGATATCAAAGAAACAACAATGCTCAAGACAACCGTGTTAAAGTCGTAGTGTCTGTGGAACAAACTTTGTATGATGTCGCTGAACTGCTTGAAAGGAGACTAGGGATTTGTCTTTCTGGCTGCCAGTTTTATCTTCAAGATCGAATCAAGGTAAATCCCTTTGCAAGCTATTTTATGTTTTAGCTTCGTGGGGAATCGCCCCTGGTTGAACATTGTGTTGAAATATCCGGTTTAGTTCAGCTATTACTTGAGGTAAAAACAGCAGATGCAGGCTATCCATTTCGACTCAATGTTGTCGATATTCAAATCCCAGAATCGGTTGATCATCATGGACCTAACTCTACGATACCAACCGAAAAAAGCAAACGTCCTGGTATCGCAAAAGGACCAGGACAACAGGTGAGATCTTAGTCTTAGTATTTATTGTTATTTATACCTCCATATTGTCATATTTACTCGTTCTGAGTTGTGTACCCTGATCTGTGCCAGGGAAGTCCTACTCACTGCCTTCTCGTTTCGGGGGTGTTGTCTACAAAAAGGAGAGGACGAAAAGCGAATGTCCGGCGCTATAACCGGATTCCAGACCAACGGTGCACATGGGCTCCAGTATCCTGAGGGAACAAATGGAGTATGAACCAATTGTTGGTCACCGTCTACGATGCTCCACTGCCTTGTGGATCAGACCTTCAGGTCGAAGGCTCGGGGAGTGGCCCCCTAAGAAAACCACCTGCTTCGGTCTGGGCACCCGGGCAGTATCACAGCCCTCACACATATCGAATGAGATTTGTGTGGCGCATATGTATTTGGTGCCTCCTTGTACCAATATCTATGTGTTAAAATAAATAAATGAATAAATAATCTGTGCCATTGGTATCTATTCATGATTCATCGTCTGTCATTTGGATTTCCTCAAGTGGAGATATAAACTAAATAATCTACCTATAATCTGGATCAAAAAGTTCATTTTCGGTAGATGTCTCAAAACCTTCAATCTTTGACATTTATTTTAAGCGCATAAGTTCTGGTACAATGGAGCACCAAAAAGTGTTCTATGAGAATGAACCGATAACGTTTTGGACAAATAATGAAGGAAAAGATAGTACATTTAATAAAGAAATGAATGGAAGTAGCATTTAATGACAGTTCGGTTAAAGGTACGATCAAAAAGACCTTTCAGTTAAGTAAGGTCATCTCATTTTTACGGATAATGTAATATTAAACTACAACAGGATAGTCCCTGACTTCCGTAATTAGTTGGATAGAAAGAGGAAGAGCGGACTGCCTGTCATCGACCGTACCACGACACTTCGACATTCTTGAGAATTAGTGACTTATTTCAGCTAGTATGCTATTTGCGTGATATGCAGTTAGGAAAATTCTAAAAAAATTTCTCTTCACTATGTTCCTTATCCAAAGTAGTCATACACAATTATCACAAGAAGTTGGTTTTCATCTGATTAAGCTATGAAATTTCCCACATCTTTCCATCGGCTTTTTTCAGATATCCAGTGTAAATTCGGTAAAAAACGAGGAATCAAGGAATGATAGTGCTCTTTCAAGTTCTAACAGACCAATAAGTCCAAAACCCGAATGTATATCCCCTCTCACTGTTGCCGCAGCTGTGGCAGCGGCAGCTGATATTGCATCAGGAGGGTCTGGCTTATTGGAATCACAGCCTTCTCTCAATGAAAACGGTATGGTCTCAGATGAATCTGTTATTCCAGAAGCATGCAATATTCTTGATATACACTCATCGCAAAATCCTTATTTAGGATCCCAGTTGGAACCTGGTGGAGTTCCTGGAGCTTACGACTTGGAAAGCTTATCAAGATGGGTTCCTGATGGTCACTATCGACGTTTAATGGAAATGAATGATATTCCACGTGATCCTATTGAGTGGAATTCGACACAGGTAAGTGCATTTTTATCTTAAGTTGTTTCAATTCAACCTACCGAGTTTGGTTTCAACATTCAGGTTTTCAAGTTGACTTACAACCTGGCGTTTCAATTTTGTTGCAATATTTATGATCTTATTTTGTTTCAAGACAGGTTGATAGATCTACTTGTTGAATTAAGCGTTCATCATTACCATATGGTTGTATTCTCCAATTAAAAGAAGTTTTATGAACGAAGAATATTTTCAATAATTTTTCATCAGGTTCTACAATTATAAATCCAAATTAATAATCCATAAAATTGGCCAGATTTAAGGCAGAGTACATCATTTGGAAATTGTAATATGTGAATTGAGAATTGTTGTTTGTTATATAGAATCAATTCAGATCGTTAATGTTGGGGCTGTTTAATATAAGGTATTAACTTGAATCAGTTTATAAGCGAAATGAAATTGTGCGACAAATGATCAGAATAAATATGGTCAATATGGGGTGAGAGAGAAAATAATGGAATAAAAATCGGAAATTACGTAATATGTAGAATAATATGAATTAGGTCAGATATAGTAGATTTAGGGATGGATATTGAATAAATTCCTCAAAAGGTTATTAAGTGTAAAGATAATAATAATAATAATAATAATAATAATAATAATAATAATAATAGCAACACTCATCGTAACCCCCTCTGTTTTTACGGATACTTCGATGATCCCGGATTTATGAGATTCACAATTGATTGATCACTGGGTGGTGGTCAATGTCATGTGTGTCAGGTCCGTCTTAGTGCAGATCGAATCCTATCGATGTGGCCACCAGTCTAGGTGAATTGGCATTGCATGCACTATGTTAAGATAAGATGGTGGTTAGAGGTGGTCAGCAGGAAACTATGAACCTGTATCCATGAGATTCCAACCCGATAAGTGAATTACGTGCTTCTTTGGACAGCATCAGAGCAACTCCCTGAGTATGTGGAGCATTTTTCTCTTCGTGACCAATGTATAACAGCATCTCTCCCTAATTTCTCCTTTTCTGTTCAGCTTGGGTCTATTGGGTTTCACTGCTTCCGAGCACCACCAATTTGTGTCTCCTCATTTCTTCAGCTATTTGATTGGTCCTCCCGGTCCCCCACATTGTCTGAACATTCAAAGTACCTATATTAATTGTTGCTTTTAGGGCATCGGCCTCGTGACCTGTGAAGAACCCCAGCTCTGACCATTAGGTGTCATAATTCTTCTAAATGAAGATCCTTGAACTCGGAGGACAGAGTTTAAATGGTATAGATGGTTCTTTCTGTTTAGCGTTATTTAGCAAGGTAGTTTTCTACGGGATGGGGTTGTTGACCCTATGCCCAGCCGTCCTCCTTTACCAGGACTTGGGACCGGCAGTAGCCCCAAAAGAGCTACTGGCTGAGTTTTTATTCTAATACATTATGGTATTATTGACAGATGTTGGTGTACTTACCACTTTTTTTAAGGTCTCTTTACGATTTTGAGTGACCAGAAAATTAATTAGACCTTCATCACATAGTCGTTGCATGTCACATCTGAAGTATCATTTGGCTTCAAACTACAAAAGTAATCATTCATTCATTATCAACGTAGGGCCTGGCACAAATGTGAGTTGTTACAAGTTACTATCATATTAGTACGACTAAATGAATGGCAGAAGAGACCGAAATAATGTTTTAGCAATGACATGGAGAAAGACTAAAAATTGAGAATATAGCTCAAAAAGACAGTGGAATGGTGTGTATCAAGGGATATTAGGATTCAAGATCAAAAGGAAGACAGATGCATATGAACCATTATGAACTATTCCGTGCTGTATCACCATAAATATCCAGTCGCAGATCGTAGTTGTCATGCAGACTACCTGGTTGAGGTCCTCGTGGTAACTACAATTGGTGGCTGGAGACTTTGTATGACATTGGCTCGAAAAATTTCGCAATGGCACAGGCTGTTCATTCGTAGTTGTATTCCTGTAGGACCTAACTCCTGAAATCTTATACTTTTTCTACATGTAACATTTTCTACTATTGTCGATATTGTTACTACTCCTACTACTCTGGGATTTGTCTTGAAACAACTTTGTCTCACTGTGCTAATGTGGCGTGGCAACTTGAATCGATGCACATGTGTCAGGTTCTACATTGCATATAGTTAAAAATGATCATTGTTTTTTTAATCTGATTGAGTTGTTTAGTCATGCATTATAGTTTTTCTCCACTTGGAGTTTGTTTTTTATTGATATGCATATGTTGACAAAGAAACGTCTAATAAGTTTTTTTTTAAATTTAGGTTATTATGTGGATAAATTGGGCTTGCAAACAATTTAGGATTGAAGGCCTAAAAGGCGAAAAGTTGTTCAACATGCCTGGGTCTAGCATGTTTGTTCTAACACCAGATGATTGGCGACGTTTAGTTCCCAACGCCAACGTTAACTTCTTAACTCACTTAGAGCTACTTAAACGGTGTCGAAATGTTTGTATGTTTTTATAATTTTGTTCTGTTTTACCGATTTTAAGATATATTGTACAGTTTATGTATGTGTCTAGCATTAGAATGGAAAATGACTTAGCTATGATTTACATTTCTTTTTTCTATACATTCATTTTTTAACTAACATTTTATGTTTCTATTCGGGTTAAGTAGTCACTTGTAATCATCGTCGTGGGACATGGCACAGGTATGTGTCCGTTCAACTGTTCACGTCACACCGGGAAATGAAATTAACATGATGAATTACAAAGTATGAAAATATATTAAAACCAGGGAAAGGTAGAAAATAGATCCATTCTGGATATTGTGACTACTTCTGAGCCTTGTCACATAAGATCATTAACGATTGATCACAACTAGGTAGTCTTCAACCGACACGATTCAGATCAAAACCCAGTGATTTCATGTCCCGGCTTGGCCGCCCGTAGTTCCCCTCTAGCCCCCCCCACTCCAGTCATCATTACACGTCAAGATAGATGGTTGTTGTGTTCATGGTCTCACTAACCGTCTCCCCATTTTTTCACCGTTTGCTACTCTTAACCTCAAGATCTCTCAATTGGTTGTTACACGATATGCTTGCAATGCTGCGAAAACATCTATTATCTAAAACACGCAGCTTACGCATATCTTCTATTTATATGGAATATTTCTCACAGCAATAAGTTGATACAAAGCTTATTGTCTTTCAATACATTCATCCTTTGATATACAAACGGATATCTTACCTACCTCACTTGTGATGGAAGTTGTGCCGATATTTCTGCAGACACTAATCCTCCAGGGCTGATAAGACTTCCAAGTGAAGTGATCGACACATTTCGCGTTAATGTATCTAGTTATAAATATTTCAAAATGATTATTGTTAAACTTATACTGTTATTTTTTATTCTTATTTATGTTATAGAGATAAGTTAGTTTCGTATTTCTTATGATGTGTAACACGGATTTCATAGTGACATACACCTCTTTGTTTTAGGTGTTCCTTATTGTCCACAACCCCCACAACAGAGCGCTACCCAATCCCAAAAATTGTACAGACAAATGTCACGATCCCGCTTTCGTAGCTCTAGAAATTTGACGGAAACGAATTCTAGTAGGAGTTTTGGTGGAAGTAAGTATTCGCATTATGGAACTTGTTTCAATATCCTATTGCATTCATTATGAGTTTTTCCACTTTAGTAATATGAAATAATCGCGTCTTGGTAAATGGTTCTGTCACCATCTAATAATATCCCGTTCATCATGGTAATATAGAATATTAGAAGGGATATTAGTGAAAATGACTGGCTTATTCATATATAGTTTGAATTAGTCTAGTGGCATAATATTGTACTCATCATCTACACCGCAAATTCTCATTTCCCTGGTAGCGTTTTGGACAATTTTTTGTGTTGTGATTAAATGAATAAATCGAAATAGTTCATCGAAAGTACAATTCTGGAATGATATCCTAAATTACTGGAGAAAGAATGCAACAGGAGTGAGCCTTCACAGATCTCACAGATTGTTTCGTCGTTAGAACTATGGCCCTATTAAACTTTACGGAAGACCCAACTAACAGCAGTCTATTAAAAGCATGCTGGACGTCCACTTTAGTCTCACAACCACTCCCAGTATTTTTGAGTTCTCTCTTTTACCCTTTATTTTAAAAAATAACAAGAAATACAGCTTAACATTACCAATGAGAGTCATAAATGGAAACCTGCTGCAAATATTTGTTACTACCTTGACGTGGCGGTCGAGCTTGCCTATCGTAATAAACCAACCGAGCTATACTGGCTGGAACAATCGTTCCTCAATGTCCTACCATGTCAGACAGGTCGGTTGATGAGCGGTAAGACTAAAAGCAACAAACCCAAGGTCCGAAGGCGAAGTCGTACTGCTGACTGTACAGAGGTGTGACAGCAGTAAGGTGTTTCCCTCAGACAACCAGCGTGACAGCGATGCTGCCTTCCCACAAGGAGGGGTGGGGTTAGAAAAGGTCGACCCTAAAATTGCACACCTCGCCTTATCTCACGGATATCCGTCTCCGGCAGTAAGGTCTCAGTCAGTCAGTCTGTAACAACGTAGAACTTCGTACGTACGTACATCAGTTCTAGTTGCCACACCACATTAGCACAGAGATGCAGTGGTCGATTCAAATCCCGTAGTGGTAGAGGTAGTAAGAGTATAAGCAGTAATCGGGAAGATTAGGGTTTGGAGATGTTATTTAAAGAGTATAATCCAGTGAAAGAAATTTGGAAAGAGGAAAAAGAAAGGGACATGAAGAATTCAGAAGATTAGAATTTGGGAGAACACAGAGAGTGGATGCACCTGCGCCATTGCAAACGATTTTGAGCCATGTCATTCAAGGTCTCTAACCATCGGTTGCTGTCATCTCGCGGTCCCCAACCAGGTAGTCTACACCTATCAACATGACTCAGTTCACTTGTCAGTGACTTCATGGACTTGTGCCATGTTTTGGTTTGGCCGCCCCTAGCTTTCTTCCAACCTACTCCTATACCACTGAACATAGCACGTCGAGGCAGTCGGTGGTTGGGCATACGTAACACGTGTCTCAGCCATCTCAACTGATGAAGTTTCACTACTTCGTCAATTGATTTGCCATCCTTACCTAGTACCCGTTTCCTAACAACTGTGTTACTTACTCGATGGTCCCATGATATACGAGCAATGTTTCGAAGACACCTATGATCAAATACTAGTAACCTACGGATATCCTCTACTCTTACCGGCCATGTTTCACTGCCATAAAGTAGGACGGAACGAACTGCTGCGCAGTAAACACGTCCTTTGGTTGATAGACGGATGTCTCGCCTACGCCATAAATGACGCAAGTTGGCAAAAGCTAGTCGAGCCTTCGGTATCCGTGCTGAGATTTCGTCACACACTAAACCACAAGGGCTGATGAGACTTCCAAGATAAGTGAAGCGGTCGACACACTCAACTACTTCACTCCCTATCACTAGTTCGGGTGTCGATGTAACCCAATCCTGAAGCAATATTTTGCATTTCGAGGGAGAGAATCGCATCCCGAACATGCTTGCATTGTTGCTTAGAGTGGTCAGAAGACTCTGCATTTTGTCAGCGTCTTCACCAAATAAAACTATGTCATCGCCATATTCTAAGTCAACAAGTGAACCTCCTGGTAGAAGTTCAACCCCTGTATATTTAGATGAGGAGAGTGTTATCTCTAAAAGTACGTCAATGACAAAGTTGAACAAGAATGGGGAGAGTGGACAGCCCTGACGAACACCACTTGAGGTGATCAATTCTGATGACAGTTCGCCATAAGCCCTCACTCTACCAGTTGTGTTCGAGTGGAGAGCCTTTAATGAGGTTAATGTACTTCTTTGGTACTCCTTTCAGTGACAAACACTGCCATAGCACCTCACGATCAACAGAGTCGAATGCCGCCTTAAGGTCGAGAAATACTACTATTGTGGGGCGTCTGAATGTGTGTCTGTGTTCTAGAACCTGACGTAGTGTGAATATCTGATGTATACAACCACGTCCAGGTCGAAAACCAGCCTGGTTTTCTCTAGTCTGCTCTTCACGAGCTTTAGTTAGGCGTCGAAGTATTATTGAGGCTAATATTTTAGACACTATATTAGTCAAACTGATTCCTCTGTGATTGTCACAAGAGGACTTTTGTCCTTTCTTAAAAACTGGGACAATCAGTGATTGAGACCAGTCAGATGGGATTACGTCCAGTTCCCAAATTCTACCTAAGACCTCAGTCAATCTCACTGCTAATACTGGACCACCATCCTTAAAAATCTCAGGAGTAAACCTGTCAGGGCCTGCTGCTCTCCCTCACTTCAGATTTCCTATGGCTTTTTCAACTTCGTAACGGGACGGAGGACCTACATGAACTTGCCATTCAGGTTGACTGGAGATCGTGGGAAACCGAAGTGTGGCTGAAGGCCAGTTGAACTGATCCCTAAAGTGTTCTGCCCATCGATCCAATCTCCTGGATTGAGAATGAATAATATGTCCATCTTTCTCTGAGATTGTTTCGCCAACGGTCGGGTTCCTAATTCCGGTTTCCTTAACGAGTCTGAACAATTGTCTGCTATTACCTATTGCCGCTGCCTTTTCCGTCTCTCTTGCCTTCTCTACCCACCACTTCGCGATCATTGCGTAGGCTTCTTGTCAGCTTGTGCTTAATCTGACTCCGCTCTTCATTATGTTCAGAGCCAGGTGGAATGAGTTTCCGAGCATCTATCAGTGCGATAGATGCTGCTGAGATCCAGTGTTGCTCCCTAACTTTCTGGTTTACCTTACTAGCAGATATCGCTGCTGTTTCCACAGCTTTTCGGATATCATTCCATGCTGCATCGGGGTGAGCATCACATACATGGCTGCCTAACTGTTTTCCTAGTTGTTCCTGAAATATAGTCTTAGCTTGACTATCATTAAGTAGGGCCCTAAGAGGTTTCCTTGCAGGATCTTTCCTACGTCCAGTAAGACGCAAGCAAATACGCGCTCGCACTAGAGCATGATCTGAATCTAGGCATGTGCTCCAGAATGAGCGACAGTCTTCTATCGAGCCCCTCCATCGGTGGCTGATAGCGATGTGATCTATTTGGGTCCAACGTTGGGACGAATTAGGGGGTCGCCATGTTAAAAGATGTTTTTCCTTATGCTTAAAGTTAGTATTTGCAAGGAACAGGCGGTTATCTGAGCATAGCTGCAACAGACGGTCGCCATTATCTGTTCTTTGAGCCGCGATGCTATAAGATCCACCTAGGTGTCTTTCCCTATCGCTTAGTTTACCTACTTGAGCATTAAAGTCACCGGCCACTATTACTACATCCGAGCGCCTAGCTTTTCGGAGGAGGTCGGAGAGCATTCTGTAAAACTCATCTTTTACATCATCTGCGCTGCAGTCAGTGGGAGAATAGGCACAGACGACGAAGAGGCAACGACGAGTGTCCCTATCTTTTCGGATCCTTACTGTTCCGTTTAGTCGGACAGCGCACAAACGACTGTCTACTGGGATCCACTCTAATAGAGCTAGTTCTGCCCTACGTGTAGTTTAAAGCGTGGTTTCAGGAGACCAGGAATGGCGTTCCCCGTACTCGAATCGTTTGCCCTAGCGGTGCGAGGTGATAAAGAGACGTGAGGAGGGGTAGTCGGGAGGATAAGAGAGGTATTAGGAGGTGTAGGAAGGATTTGAATGTGACCACCTTGGTCTCTTGTGCTGTTACGGGTATGAGGGCTGATGTCACTTCCCGGCTGCCCACACCGTGGAAGGGTATTTCTTGAGGAACCTGAAAAGGAAATTGGATTAGTGTTGGTCTTGACGACCTGGGAGCGTGACCGCAGAGCCCAAGGGACAACTGCTTGAGGCCGGTCGCGCACGGCCTTTTTGTGGAAGGTTTTTGACGTGTTAGCTCCGTTCTTCAAGGGGCCTTACCGCCGGAGACGGAAATCCGTGAGGTAAGGTGAGGTGTGCATTTTTAGGGTCGACCTTTTCTAACCCCACCCCTCCTTGTGGGAAGGCAGCATCGCTGTCATGCTGGTTGTCCGAGGGAAACACCTTACTGCTGTCACACCTCTGTACAGTCAGCAGTACGACTTCGCCCTCAGACCTTGAGTTGCTGCTTTTAGTCTTACCGTTCGCCAATCGACCTGCCTGGCATGGTAGAACCTGCAGGAACATATGTTCCAGCCAATATAGCTCGGTTGGGTCATCACGATAGGCAAGCCCGACCACCGCGTCAAGGTAGTAGCTTCGATCGGGAAGGTCTCAACAAGTACGGAGCTAACACAAAAATCACCCATAAAAAGGTCGTGTGTGACCGACCTCAAGCAGTTGTCCCTTGGGCACTGCGGTCACGCTCCCAGGTCACTAAGACCACCTCTAATCCAATTTCCTTTTCAGGTACCTCCAGAAGAACCCTTCCACGATGTGGGCAACCGGGAAGTGATAACCGCCCTCATACCTCTATCAGCACTGAAGACCACTGTATTCATAATCAACCTCCGTCTTCACTTTCTATTATTCCTCTTACATCGACTTTCAACTCTAAACTTCCTCCTTTGGCTTCCTCCTCAAGTGTCACCGTAGCCAACGATTCTACTGCTCGAAACACTGCCCGGGTCTACTGAAACCTCGCTCCAAACTACATATTGGAGCCTTCAACCTACACACCCTATGCCAAATCGACCAGCAGGCCTCCTTGGCTAAAGCCGTAGAATCTCGTACCATTGATGTATGCTGTCTCCGAAACACTCATACAAGATCGTAGTGTGCTCATTCACTAAATCTCACCTCGTCAAAACGGAAAGCTGATGAGATATACCCTCCGTGTATCTGGCAACCCAATGGCTAGTTCTCATGAAATGGCAAGTGTAGTCACAGCATTAAGTGCGAGAGAAGAACAAGCACTATTAGAGTGGATCCCCGTTAACAGTCATCTATGTGCTGTTCGGTCAAACGGCTCCGTAAAACTCGGAAGGGTAGGGACACGCGTTGTTGCTTTTTCGTCGTTTCTGCCCACGCTCTCACTGACTGCAGCCCGGATGAAGTGAAAAATGACTTTCACAGAAAGCTTTCTGAACTTCATCAGAAAGCTAAACGCTCAGACATAGTACTCGTAGCAGGTGACTTTAATGCCCAAGTAGTTAGCTCAAACCAAACAGAAAGACATTTTGGTGGGGATTACATTATCCCGGCTCAGAGAACAGATAATGGTGATCGTCTGCTGCAACTGTGCTCAGACAATCGTTTATTTTTAGCAAACACAAATTTTAAGCATAAGGAGAGACATCGTCTAACATGGTGACCACCTGCACCAAACCAACGATAAACTCAAATAGACCATATTGCCATCAGTCATCGTTGGAGAGGCTCGATAGAAGACTGTCGCTCATTCCGGAGTACATGCTTAGACTTCGGTCATGCGTTAATACGCACCTCACTGGACGCAGAAGTCTCATTAAGAAGACTCATTAGAGTTGAACTCAGTGACGAGAAAGCCAAAAGTAGATTCCAGGAACATCTGAGGTCACACTTAGGTAGTTCTGAAAATGAGGCTGACCCAGATGTTGCTTGGGAAGATATACAAGCAGCTGTGGAAACAGCAACGACATCTATTAGTGATTTTGACCGAAGAATCACGAAAATTCAGTGGATTTCTACTAAGTCTATTGCACTGATAAATTCTCGTAAACTTACCCCATCAGGCTCTGAACACGATGAAAAGCGAAAACAAGTCAGATCTAGATCAACCAAAAGTCTGAGGAACGACCGTAAGCTGTGGTAGGCAACGAAAACAGAAGAGATGGAAAAGGCGGCGGCTGTAGGAAACACCAGACAACTTTTCAGACTAATAAAAGAAATTGGAATTAAGAAGTGAAGTGTAAGCGATCTCAGAAAAAGACGACATTCTTATCTGCTCTCAACCCAGACGTTTAGAACGATGGGCGGAACACTTTAAGGAGCAGTTTAGCTGGTCTTCAGCTACTCTACAACTACCCACCATTCCCAGAAAGCCTGAATGGAATATTGAAGTAGGTCCCCCGACTCTAGCTGAAGTCCAAAAGGCTACAGCTAATGTGAAACAAGGAAGAGCAGCTGGTCCAGATGAATTTGCTCCAGAGGTATTTAAGGATGTTGATTCAGTTTTAGCGATTACCTAAAATCTGGGAGTTGGACGTAATCCCATCTGACTGGTCGCAATCACTAATTGTCCCTATGATAACCATAGAGGGATTAGTTTAATTATTATAGCATCTAAAATAATGGCCTCAATAATTATCGGACTCCTAACCAAGACTCGTGAACTGCAATCACGAGAAAATCAGGCTGGCTTTAGACCTGGTCGTGGTTGCATCGACCATATATTCACCATTCATCAAGTTCTAGAACACAGACATACTTATCGGCGTCCAAGAATGGCGGCCTTTCTTGACTTAAAAGCAGCATTTGACTCCGTAGACCGCGAGATTCTGTGGCATTGTCTGTCATTGAAAGGCGTACCTCAGAAGTGCATCAACCTTGTGAAAGCTCTTTACTCGAACACTACTAGTCGAGTCAGAGCTTATGGCGAACTGTCATCTACTTTTGCAACCTAACCTCAAGTGGTGTCCGTCAAGGCTGTCCACTTTTTCCATTTTTGTTTAACTTCATCATAGACCTACTGCTGGAGATAACGTTCTCGTCGACAGAATTTCCGGGCATCGATCTCCCACCAGGAGGTCCACTTATCGACTTAGAATACTCAGATGATATAGTCCTGTTTGGTGAAGACTGACAAAATGCATAGTGTTTTGATGGCACTGAGCAACAATGCCAGAGTGTTCGTGTTGCCTTTCTGTAGCTATAAATACAAGTTGTTACTTCAGACCTAGATTGCGTCAACACCTGAACTAAGGATAGCGAGTGAAGTAGTCGAACGCGTTGACAGCTTCACTTATCTGGGAAATCTAATCAGCCCTAATGGGTTAGTGTCTGACGAAATCTCAGCACGGATTCAGAAAGCTCGTTTGGCTTTTGCCAACTTACGTCACCGTCTATCAATTAAGGGAGGAGTATACTGCGCTGCAGTTCGTTCTTTTCTACTTTACGGCAGCGAAACATGGCCATTAAGAGTAGAAATTACTCGGAAGTTACTAGTATTTGAATATAGATGTCTCAAAAATATTTCCAGCATCTGCTGGGATCACTTGGTGAGTAATAGTGAGGTTAGACTCAGGATGTTAAGGAATGATGGTAAATCACTTGATGCTGTTGTGAATCTTCACCGAGTGAGATGGTTCGGCCACGTGTTGCGTATGCGTGAACACCGATTACCACAACGCGTAATGCTGAATGTTGTTGGAAACAGCTGGAAGAAAGTTATGGGCGGCCAAACCAAAACGTGCCATCAGTGCTTGAAGTCACTAACTTCTGGTCTAAGCGATGGTGATAGATGCAGACTACTTGGTTGGGGTCCGCGTTACTATTGTAACCAATGGTTGGAGACTTGATGACATGGTTTAGAATCGATCATAATGGCATCGGTGTATGCACTCTTTGTCTTACCTTAGACTATGAGATTAAAATCGCTTCATATCTTTCTTGCCACCAACTAATTCTTTCTGCCTGTACTATATCCTTGTATTCAATCTTTCTTTTATATATTACCACCATTGAATTAACTACTTCTATGAATCCGGTGTTCATCTTGCTGTGCTAATGGGGTATGGTAACTTGAACCGATGCATATATGTTCCTGGTCCTACGGCGTAGCTAACTGACAATTCTAAATAATCTATAACTATTAATTGCAGTAGGGCTCCGTTAATCAGTAATCAATATTATGAAGTTATATTTGAATGAAATTCGAGATCTAGATTATGTAACTAATTTTAGTTCTTGCCAATGATTTCTGCAGTTATTTTTCTACAAAGTTTGGTTAATACTTTTTCGAACTTAACGCCATAATATATAAGTTAACATGATTTCACAGCATTTCGTTCATGTGTTCTGATCAGAAAACATTCAGGATCGTTGTATAAAGTTTCAGACTAAGTTGTGACATCCTTCAGATTGCGTAGTTGATATTTTACATAATGATTCGATTTGTACTCAACTTTTGTTATTCTGACCTAGTGAAATTCGTAGGAATAAGACATACCCATTATCGTTGCTTTCATTTCATGGAGACTTTATGTAAGGAAGGATCCAAATTAGATCAAAGAGTATTCTGACTGAAGGTAAAGGGATTCTGTAAACTTTCAAACTAATGAGGTGTGTTATGACAAGATGTTTTCAGTCAAGCTTAAACCTCATGGTTGCTTTTCTAAAAATAAGAGTATTTATAACAATTATTATAAATACGTGACTTCATTACGTTGGATTTTAGTCTATCAGCCTCACAATGTATGGTGTCATCTAGACTAGCTTAGCTGCTACATAGCATTTACTCGAAATTTTAAATCTTTATTTGTAATTACACGACAGCAGTAATGTGTATCTAGCAGTGGCTTAGTAGTTAAAACGTTCAAATCTCAGCAACTAACTTCATTCCACCTACTTCGGTTCTGACAACCGGGTAGTATCATTATCCCTCACACTTAAAGTCGCTAATACAAGTACCTGGTAAATGAGTTGGTTTACAGTTAGCTATTTTCCTCATCACCCTGTTTGTGGAAAGTTGATCACCATTATCACATTTTCATCAAGTTTTCAAGCTTCTAATATATAGCTCATTTATTGGTATTAAAATTTTGGGTTTATGTCAAAAGTATGGTTTATTCGATACTTACTTTTCTGTATCCGTTCATTTAATTGTTTGTTGATCACAAAGGTATTGTATTTGCGCCGTCGTACTCGGGAGCCTTAAATTCCTACGATATGAATAATTCTAACCCACGAATGATGTGTTCAAAACCAGTGTTTTTGTCATGTAATGATTCAAATGGTCACGTTCCAACATCCAATACAGTTACATTAATGAACGAAACGACTGCTAATCAGAACTCATCCAACTACACAAATAACGGGGTATGCGAGTCGTCTTCAGGTGGTGGTCAGTTAATTCATGTAAGTTTTTTAATGTCCTTATTTTTGTGGACTTTTGGGTAATTATCTCAATCTTGTTATTCAAAACCCATGACTTGTTATTTTTATCATATATTAGCAAAAATAAATAGATGTATTTTACGTATTGATTAGAAAGCAATTACATTCAGATAGTATATGACAGCCAGTGACATCATAATGGTCGAAGATGCTGGTCAAGCAATCTTTCTTTACAACTTTTGTGAAACACTGTTAGTCTTTAAACTGCACATGAACGTGTATATATCTTTGTTTTTCAGCAAATGGCAAATGAAAAGTTCAATAATAGACTAATTATCAATCTATTAGTCCAGTTCCACTTATCAAGAAACTTTCATTTAAAAATATACTAGCGTTTGTTAAGTAGCAGATCTTAATTGAACATCATAACTATATATAGTAACTCCTAAATAAATTAAAGAGTTCCTTTAAATTTACACTTTCGATAGTTTAGCTATGATTTTTAGGCAGTGACTTTGCTTCTAGCCATCAAACGATGGTTTAGTATAATGAATATAATATCAACGGTGATCACCATATTTCTTTGTCTTTGTATATGAAAAATAGGGCTAATAAGGTCGAATGCGATAAGTGAATGTCCAGTATTGTAGGAGAGGTCAAAGTATTTTTTAAATTTTGTAATCTCTATATTCCTTTTATGGTTAGTCTAAACTTAAACTTTACGGCGCTTGTGTTATTAGTTTTATTAAGGCTACTGCGAAGACACAGGATATCATTTTTAGACGAGTTCATCATAGTTGTTGATATGACACTCATGAATTCCACTCTGTTTAATGTTTCAAAATTCAGTTATATTCCATGAATATCATTAATCAAATAGTTTCTTTTTTTAACTTTACAGGGTGCATTTTTATTAGCTCAAAATGGTAACACTCTTCAACAAGGAATTTCTAATTCTCAATCATCTGCAGCTGGTCAAGTTCAACTGTGGCAGTTTTTACTTGAACTACTTACAGATTGGAGATACCGTGAAGCTATACACTGGATTAGCGATGATGGTGAATTTAAATTAAGTAATCCTGAACAAGTAGCTGCAATGTGGGGTCATCGAAAAAACAAACCTGCTATGAATTACGAGAAGTTATCTCGAGCATTACGATATTATTATGATGGTGATATGATTTCAAAGGTATCGATTAAAATAGTAACGCTTTTTCAAGTGATTTAAACTTTTATGCCTGAAATTTATCTTGATCCCCAGATATAATAATGTTTTTAAATGTGCGTTCTTAGTTTTAACTGACTGTTCAATTATTATATAAATCTATCTCCCAAGCTGTAGTAAATAAAACATGATTAAATGTTTAAACTATCAGTTCACGAAGACGCATATTTAGCTGCCATTTGTCTTCATATTTTTACTTCAATTGGTTAATTGGGTTCTTATGAATTACGTTTTTATCATAATTTTGAAACTTCTTGTTTTTGTATTTAATTCGATGGGCCGTAAGTCATATTTTGTTTGCCTTTGTAGATATTAGGACTTTCCACTTGGAAAGTTTTGCGTAATTTGGAAGTGACGACTAGTTTTAGTGACTTAAACTAGTAGTGCATCAAGTGTTATCATTTTTTCTTGGATTTTTCCGTATTGTAGTCAGATTTTCTCTCATATTACATTTGATACATCAAAATGATCGACAATTTAAAAAATCCCGTAATTATGTGTACTAGAAAAATTTAGGAGTCCTAAAAGTAAATGGATAGCTGAATCAGTGCTATGGTTTTGTATGATCCTGGAGTAATAATACAAACGTAGCATTCATATCCCTCGGTCTTCCTATGATGTATTCGTGGTTCGTTACAACTAGTCGACAACCAAATTGTCCATTAAAATTTACGTACATCAACTGGCCCTTTACATGAATAAACCTCTATGCTCCTTGGATGTAATATTCTTCATTTGTTTTATGTAGAAATAAAGTAGTTGTCAGTTTTGTATAGAAAGAAATACATATTCTGTACACTTTGTATCCTACATCGCAATCTTGATTATATTGAAACAATAGACATTTATTTGGACGATATGTCTAAATATTGGAAACTTTGAATCACTTTATGTTCAAGCGGTTTCGGGCGTTCATCTATTGACGATACTACAATATCATTGAAAATTTTGTGTACTGATAACAAAGTAACTGTATAAACACATTTTAGAGTCTGGCTTCTGTCTGTTATTGCAACGATGTGAATCATATTTCTGCTATATTTGTACTTAACCACCCTAATTTTTGTTTTACCCTTTAGGTTCATGGAAAACGTTTTGTTTACAAATTCATTTGTGATTTAAAGACTCTACTTGGTTTTTCAGCTGGCGAGCTATATATGTTAGTGAAAAATTGTGCTGAAAGGCATTCACATCGAGGGAAAAAGCGGCGTTTGACTACAGGATCTACATACTCTCCAGTAAACAGTCATACACTGTCTACATTTCCTATAGACGATAGGACTGTGTTCCCAATACCCGCAGAACATCCTCGTCCAATTAATTTTTTAAACCGGTCTGTACAGCGCAATGTGACCCCTGGTTACTGCCTCGATATCGTCACACCTTCAGATCCCCTTTCTTATAGTGTTCCGTTCTCACCTACATACCGTATCAGACAACCGGTCAAATCGGAAAATGGAGTAAACAGTAATACACTAGAACAACACTCTAGTAGTTCATTAGTCCGTCAGTCATTCCAGCGAAAAAGATTTTTGGGTTTACAGCCAACTACCGTAAATACTGACAATATTGTTTTTGAAGATGACTCTATTCATAATAATGCTTCTGACTCTGAGCATCATGAAAACGATCGATCACGTGCCCCCACCAGTCCTTGGAGGCTGCGACGACGCTGGTGGGCTCGCAATCCTTTGTCTGGTGTTTCACCACTTGGCTCTCCTCCTTACTCATCTCCTTCATACACTGAACGTTTATCTTCTGATTCTGCTCGACAACGAGACGATGTTTCTGATCGCTTCAACGGTTCATGCTCATCGATAGCTGGTGCAAGTTCTCAGTTCAGCCATTCACAGTTCACAGTTGACGAGGACTGGGTTGCCGCCGCAGCGTTAACGGAGGATATGGCAAATGAATCGTCCATGAATTCCTCCACTTCGATCAATAGTTCATTTCGATCTAATGGAATTTCTATTCCCCAACCTCCCACTCCCAATACTACTGTAACTGGCTTTGATGAAGGAGAGATAGCTTCCGCCGCTGCTTCATTATTCAGTCAATCAAGCCAATCAGAACCTCCCTTAGTAGTGGATCAAACGAATACCGTTCCCAAAAAGAGAAAGCTATCTTCTAACTTATCTGATTATCGCTGTGAAACGAAAGAGGTTAGAGATGATTCTCTTATCGAAGATACCGTATACGGTTCTCGGTTAAGTCATTTAGGTAGTACCAAGTATATCTCTAATAACCGGTCATCTATGCGTAATTATGGTCCTGTTTTATTATCTAGTTATAGTCAAGGCATAGATATCGATGCCTTTTTAGCTCATTGATGTATGATATGTATATGGAGCTTTTTACAGCTACTTAATGCTAGTTTATATCAAAACTTGTACATTTATTCATCAATAGGTGCCTTCCGATTTGTTTTGCGGAAGAATTCAGATGAAATTTCATTCATTATTTTCCTTCAATGGCCTTTCTATTTTCTGTTATGTTTTTTCTCTGAAAATTTATTTGCTCAGGATTCTGCTTACTTGTATGAAATTATATATATATATACTATTATGTTTTTGCATATGTACAGTATATTATAATCCTCTCAAATCCGTGAAACATTTCACAGTCAAAGTATTAATATCCTTTCTTTACATCTCCATAACGACCGATTTTAGTTGCTCATGTACAAAAGTATGTGCCACTGATGCAACAAATGATTCTGGTGTTAATTAACAACTTCAAATGTATACATAGCATTTCTGTTATAATAGAAATTGTATATGTTTTTTTATATGTTTGATTTAATATCTCTGATTCAAATTGTGTCAACATTCCATTTACATTAATCACTAAATTCGTTCATATGTGAGGAAAAAAGCAAAAGGAATGCTTATTGTGAGTGATCATAGATTTTCTAATATTTCACTACGATATTATTGTTTAGTTTTATTGGGAAGTTTTCACAACATTTGCATTTCAAATAACATTAAAATACATAGATAGTGTTTTATAAATTTCTCCTACCTTGACCCCCTTGTCCATACATATATTCTTGTTGTTAATTTCTGTAAATTTTACTGGCTAATAAATGCTACTCACATTTCCTAAATAGAACTATTTTGTACATTTTTTTTTTAGTACGGAGAAGATTCATTTTTATATATTTATACAAGCGTGCTTTATTTAACATTATTATTACTATTATTATTGTTCAATTCAGTTTACTAACTTGTTTGTTTTGTTTTGTTTTGTGCATTAGTAAAACTAATTTGCATTTAGGTTATGATGTAATTATCCTTTTATCCATACACTCTAGATTTTACTTATATTAAGAACATTTAACGCGTAATCAAGTGTACTAATAGCACCCGTCGGCTAGAATTTCTACGGAGTTTTGATTATAATACGTAGTTATTATTTTGCTTGTAGACGGTTATACTGTACTCTACCGTGTTGTACTGTTTTAAATAGCCAAATGAATAACATATTTATCACATCTTACTAGATTCTTGCGTATATATATATATATATATATATATATATATATATATATATATATGAATAATGAACATGAAATCACTACTAAAAGTGTAAAGGAAGTAGTTTTCTATGATATATAAATGAGTTGGTCTCTAATATTTAACATCATATTCAAAGACTACACTTCAAATCATTTACTTGGATAATAGGTAACTAAGTTCTAAGCTTATTTCTAAACAGGCAATTAAAATATTTATAGGACGATTATAAGGGGAGTTTTAGGATTCGAATTCCAACTGTTTGTGTGGTGGTGTGGATCTCGTTAAACCCATCTGATGTGGACCGGTGGGTTGTATCCTTGCCTTTCATTATATGTTTGGCTCAAAGTTGAGTGCACTAGACTTGAACTGATTTTTCGAATTTCATTATTTGTCCCAACGAGTGTCGGGGAGTTGGAAATTGAATGCATTCTGTTTAAGCATATACTAGAGTTATAGTTGGTTATGTCCCACTTGACTCAAAACGGGAACATGAAGTCTGTTAAAAATCACTCACAGTAATAATGCTTTTTGAGAATTAAGTCTATTTTAAAATTTCCGGTTAGTTACACTGCTTCACACAAGTTCCTTAAATATTTCGTTATCTTTGGTTTTACACAACCATCTAAAATTGTAAGCAAAACCTTAAATGTGTATTTGTAGGTTGAAGAATCAATTATTAACATGACTTTTCCCATTATTGAAGCCTGACGTAAAAAAGCCAAACCTTGTTATTTCAAAACTAAAAAAGTTTCTGTTGTATCGTCAAACAAATAGAAAATGAGGATAAATAATAGATCAGAATATTGTAACAACTAACTTTTCATTCAATTTATTCACTAACTAATCCTATGAAGGATGTAAAGGACAAGAAACATTTGAAAATAAACCACATTGTTTTCTTGTTATTTACTATTGATATTCATTACAATTAATTAACATGATATACTATTTTTAATTCATGAAGTACATAAGAGGGGATAAGATGCATGTCCGTGATTTTGTAGCATATCTATTCCTCAATGTCCTCAACTTTTACATTCATCTTGAGAGTTCATTCTACATATATGAGCATAATTTTCAGTGGGTATTTCATTTTAAGTTTCAACCGTTATTTTAATTACATTTTCCGTCATTTTGTGATTCGCTACAGTGTCGTGTTCGTATGAGACATATGTATATAGTTTTAGATGGTTGACGTGAAATCCGTAGTGAAAGATATATATATTTAGCGCCAACCCACTTGATACTGTAATTTTATTAAACATTGAAAAGGATGGTCATTTTCACAACACAAGAGTAGTATCTAATCTTAAGTAGTTCATAAGATATTCAAGCAGGAAGTTCAAACCATAGATGAGATTCTTAGGACATGTATCCAATAGATAGTCTACGTGTCTAATGTAAAATTCAGAGGATAAAAAGTCAATTAATGTTTATTTAGAAATAATATACTAAGTAGGGTTCTCAAGTTGTCTATTAGGGAGTGGATAAAAACTTAAACATATTTTATAAACTAAGGCAAAGTCGAGCATTTTTAGCAATCCTGTCATGATTTAATCAATACAAGGATTATAACCCAACTCTTGAACTACAAATACAAATATGAAAAGCAAAAAATGATGTTAAAAGTACAATAAATTTTTCTTAAAGTTCGAAATGGGGATCACGAACCTATTACTTTTGAATATCAGGTATTTAGAAGTCGATCGCACCATCAGGAGAACAGTTAATAAATAAGCTGGGACCTCAGAAATAGGATGAGACTAAAATTATGCAGTGTTACCAATTAAAACGACGGACGAACTATTTATGTAAATAATTACACAAATAATAATTGAAGATGAATAAAGTTTTGGAGAATTGGTTACACGAAGAGAAAAGCAATGATATGACTGAGAAAAGTAGTCAGTAAAAGAATACGGAAATACGTCAGTGTAGGAGGGTAGTCAGATGGAATATACGAGTCAACAATAGATTTTATCCTTACGTCATTGAAAAAAATGCTTGGATATACTCAGCATACATGTTAAAATTAAGTAATACGTTATAAAACAGGATGAAGTTGAAAGATGAATTCTAACATCTGATAAATCATGCCAGTACATACTTAAGATATATATATATATATATATATTTATTGTTTCTCGATTTTCAGCAGTTCTCTATCTTCGCATTTTGTACTGGCTATGCAAAACGTGTTCATATGTTTAGATACAATAAAAATTAGGGATCAGTTATTTTAGTAATTAATTTTTAATAAACGAAACTTACAAGGCATCTACAGATACAGATTTGTTAAAAATGTGTTAAGTGGCATGCAAACCACACTTCATGTCTATTTTGGGTTTAGAAATTTCCCTCTGATAAATAAGCGTAACAATGCAGAATTAAGTAAGAAACAAAAAATTTAGTAAGCTATTTCAGAAAGAAGAAAGGACGGAAAAACAACGGAAAGTAGTTTGTAATAAAATAATAAGAATGTAATAATAATAATAGTTACAAATCAAGTTCCAAAAACTATGAAAGAGGTAAAGAGTTTTGTTATAAGTAAATACTGTCTAGACATTAGTGATTCCAGAAAAGAAGCCTATGCTTTGTTTATGGGTTAAGCTGACGCACAGTAACTTCAGAGATGGTATCACTTGTTCAACAGTGTTCTCTTCAAACTGACTTTGTATTGTTTACTTGGATCTTTCCATTAATGTTTGGGACCACAGTTGATCAGTCTGTTATTGGCACATATGTATACTTTGAGTATTGTCTTAATTCACAAGCATTTTAAGCACAGATGGATTTATTTATTTATTTATTTAAACACATAAATATTGGTACCAAGGGGCGCCGAATATGCATGCGCCACACAAGTCTCTTGATTGGTGTTTAGGCTGTGATACTGCCCGGGTGCCCAAACCGAAGCAGGTGATTTTCTTAGGGACCACGTGGAGCTGACTTTCTCCACCCTCGGCCGTACTAGAATATTTGGGGGGCCGAAGTGACGTTGTGCTGGACGAGGTCCTTCCGACCGACTGGTTAAGCATAGGAATCCAGGATACGCATTTCGTCCTATTTGGGACTCGTACACTCGATGCGACTGCATCCGAGTTGACGTTCACTCCGGGACTCGAACTCAGTACCGTTCGCGTTAAACGCAATCACGTTATCCACTTAGCTACTGAGTCTCTTCTCGTTATACATAATTCAGTAAAGTGAATTCGATTAATAGTTAACTGGTGAGGCGTATTTTTGGGCTCAAGGAAAGTTGTACTGAAAAAATGTTATCAAGAGGTGCATTTAAAGGTAAAGATAATAGTTTGTTTGGTTTATGAATAACTTTAATGATATCATTTTATCTAGTGTATGCTATTTTGTTATAGGTGTTTTCAATATACCTATTATGAATAGTGTGGCTGGGTACATTCATTAGTCTCTAAGCGGATCCTATTTTGATGTTAGTACCCATGTATGAACAAAATAAGTTTATTTAGATCAAGCGTATAAGATTTTGAATATCTAATGGCATTACTTACTAAGTTCAGTGATCCATTTGGTGACGTAGTCATCTCCAAACTTCATTCTTTATTTTACCATATACTACTTACTAACATTAAGTACTTTGAACTAAATTTATTCATTTTAGCCCGAATAATATTTGTTGCCAGAACTCACAATACCTACCTGATTATATTGACGGATTGCTTCATTCCTTTAATTTATAGATACCTTTGTCATCCAACTGATAACTCAGTATTATTTTTCGAAAGGGATAATTATCCCTATATTTTAGTAGACACTTATAAATAAAGTCAGTAATT